CAGGATTGAGGTGCACGCTGCACTAAGCAGTGTCGTCCCCCCTCTCCCCGACGGCGATGGCGGTGTGACCGATCGAGCTACAAGAGGAACTTGTTCAGCAGGATCCGGAGTGGCAATTTTCTTTCTTTATTTAGTGCATGTAACACGTGCGAGAAACCTGGGAAGCAGCGGGCCGCAATCGCAGAAGCACTCGACGCTCAAAAGAATTCTTAAAATACTAGCAGGGGTCCCGTACCATGCGGAACCGACCCTATCCAGTGCTCAAGTGCTCAAATACTAGCCTCTCTCCAGCCCCACACTGGACGCTCAAAAGAAAACCAAGGGCGGCCGTTTAATCTTCTTGGAGCACTTGGAGTGCAGTTGTCAGGCTCATGAGACAACGATTTTCCCACTGACGACTGAGCCACCTTTTGCGCAAAAGAAAGGTGGCTCCGTGGGAAAATCGTTGTCTCATGAGCCTGACAGCAGTCATTAGCCTCACATCCAGGGCCGGGGAGCTAAGAAGCGCACCCAGCGGGCCGGATGATCGGGATCGGGTTGCGGGCAAGAGAGCCCTAGCCCCGGGGGTGCGCGTTCGCGGCGCAACTCTTGGAGCACTTGGAGTGCAGTCATCAACCGCACATCCAGGGCCGGGGAGCTCAGAAGCGCACCCAGCGGGCCGGATGATTGGCATCGGGTTACGGGCTAGAGAGCCCTAGCCCCGGGGGTGCGCGTTCGCAGGGCGAGGGCCTTAAAGTAAACACAGTTCTCCGAGGGTTGGACCCGCGTACCGGGTTTCCCCTTAACTGCAGGACGCCCCCTCTACTCGGAGCTAGTGGACATTACACTGGACACCACGCCCAAACAGACACTTGCTTAGTCCTCGGTCCCGGGGCTCCACCTTCGGTCCTCCCGGGGCTCCGGTTCTCCCCGATTCGCTCTCTTGCTCGCTTGCCGAGCGTCATACGACGGCCGGTGTGGTCGTTTCCCTCGTTGTTGGTGTCGCTTCCTCCGCTGCCGCCTTTCGTCTTCGCTAGCCTCTCCCAGCTCCACCGGTTCTGAGAGTGTCGGCGGCCCGGCCGGGGTCACCCCGGGCGAGAACGGTGGCATTGGGTCGCGACCAGTTTCCTAGACACGGTTGGCTCCGCTCCTGGGAGGAGGGCCGCTCCCACCGCCACAAGCACCTTCTCCCTGGTCTCCCCCCGGAGGAACTCCGCCGCTAGCTCCCTGTGGACTCCAATCACCGCGAGGGCCGCCCGCGCATGTGCGGCTCCGTCGTCAAAGTCGAGGCCAAAGCGCGCCAGCGCGGTGCTTCGGATGGGTCTCGGGAGCCGGAAGGGGTCCGCCGAAGGGGTTGTAGCGTACTCCCTCCCCCCGGAGAGCCAACCCGCCGCCACCAAGGCGTCCGTGCGTCTCCCGTGTTCAAATTCGATGTCCACAAACCCCGTCCGCGGGTCCGGCCCCGGTCTCACCCTCTGGAGAAAAGCCCTCACCACGTCGTGGTGCGTTTGGTTCGCGAAGAAGTGCCGGTCTCGCCGAATCACTCTGGCCCCTGCCGCCGACGCGGCGTACGCCTCGAGCGCCCCTATGTCAATAGCTCTTCTTTCTTATCATTGTTGTAAAAGCCGACGCGCAACGACGTCCATCCACGACGAACTAGCGAGCCATGCTTGGCTTCGACGCGCCTCCATCCGGCCGCTACGGCCTCATCAGGGACGACGCTGCGTCCAGAATGGGGCGTTGCAAACCCCCGAGACGCTGCGCCGCGTCAATGGTGCTGTTTCTTGGCCTCGCCGCCGTCCTCGCGATGGCCGCGACTGACATTGCGGCGCGGTCCTCTGACATTTCAGCAGTCCTCTCACTGTTCGCTCGCACGGCGGATGCACCAAGAGCGTCGGACGGGCGGGAGGCGGTCAGGGTGCCGCAGGGCTTCGCCGTCGAGAGTGACGAGCCAGGCCTTGAGGCCAACCTCACAGCGGACGCCGAGGAGCCTGAAGTCGTGGATGGGTACTCCTACAGCCTCCAGCCGAGCGACTCTCGCCCGTCGCCTTCGCCCCGGCCTCCAGCCATGGGCCTGCCTGCGCCGCCTCCGATACCTCCTCCGCCACCGCCCTCCCCTTCTCCGCCGCCGCCGCCCTCCCCTGCCCCCCCCCAGGAGCAGCCAGAGGTGGAGCCCTCTCCGTCGCCGATTCCAGAGGAGCCGTCTCCGCCTTCTCCGCCGCCGCCGCCGCCGCCGTCAGCACCGCCCGCCTGTCCCACCAAACCCTTTGGCCAATGCGCTGGCATCAAGCCACCGGCGGAGCCTACAGCCTGCTGCCCCCCCGACACAACGTGCGTCCATTTCGGACCTATCTTCGGCTTGTGCGTACCATCGTGATCGGGAAGACACCGTGTCTCAAAGGAGGTCCACGAACAGGGCGTCTGCGACGCACAGCCGCAAAGAACCGTCAACGCGAACCCAACTCAACAAC